CGGCGGCAGCGGCAGCGGCGGCGGCGGTGGCGTCGGTGACGGCGGTGGCGGTGTCGGCGCTGGCCGGCGGTGCTGCAGGACAGCTCCCCGGGCGGCGGGGCAGGCGGAGCGCTCCCGGGCCGCCGGTGCTGCAGGACAGCTCCCCGGGCGGCGGTGCGGGCGGAGCGCTCCGCGGCCCGCGGTGCTGAAGGACAGCTCCCTGCCCGCGCCGCCCGCCCTGCCCGCGCCGCCCGCGCCCCAGCATCCGCGGGCGGCAGCCGCCCTCCTCCTCCGCCCCGCTCCGCTCTGCGCGGGCAGGCACAGGCAGCAGGCAGCGGGGGGGGGGGGGGGGGGGGGTTGCCTGCCCCCGCCCTGCGCCTCGCCCGCCGCTGCCGGCACAGGCAAGGATCACTCTCCCGGGGCCGCCGCGGAGCACAGGGGAAGACGGCGCTGGGGCTCTCCCTCGCTTACCGCCTTTTTTCCCCCACCACCGCTCCCCAGCTCAGCCTCCGTCGCAACCCCGCCGGAGGTGCCCGGAGCTGCGAGTGCGACCCGCACACCGCAGTTAAACCAGCACAAAACTTCAGTCAGCCGTTTCTCTCCCCAGGAGGCAGGTGAAATGTAACGTGGAAGGATAATTTAAAAACAAGCATGTATTTCTGCTCTTACTGCTGTTGTTATGATTTTTAAGTGTTTGCTCTTCACTATTCTCGGGTTTGCTGCAAGTTGCATATGTTTTTGTGTTGGTCGTTTTCCATCCCTCTGCCTCCCCTTAACTGACCAGTGTTGTGTGGATCCCCGTGCTCTCACTTGGTCTTTAGAGCTTTCGGTGAAATCCTATGCCTCCCCCAAGAAGCAGACATTTTGGGAAGATTCTTCATGAGAAAGGACGATTTATGATAATTAGTATAATTTTGTTAAGGAAAGGAACCACCTAAATTGAATACCTCCACCCCCTCAACCCTGGGAAAGCAATCCACCTTTCACATCCTCATTTTACACAGAAAGATGCATGAGCTGAATGGATGCAGACTGAAATCTATCACTGCTTAAGTTTTCTGTGTCAGACACAACCTGATAGTACAGGGAACACATACAAAATTGTGCAATACTGACATCTAAGTATGTCATAATCCTCTCTCTCTTCCTCAGCAGTATCATTACACCAGGTTAATTACATTAGTCACCTCCTGGTTCTATACATGTAGCTGCTCATTAATGCAACAATCATGAAGAAAAGAAATAATCTAATTCTTGATGCTACCGATTTCGTTTCCCTCTGATCAGATGCATTGTTCAGTGAAAAATGAGACCAGAAGATCTGCTTAGGTTCACTGCTGTTCTGTGCGGGGGAGCAGGGCTGGGGGAAGTGGGTGCTGGGAAGTTGAACCAGTTGGAGGGCTTCAGCCATGCTGCAATTTCATATCTCCAGTCATCTCTTCTCTCCGCTCCCTCTCCCTTCCCCAGACTGGGACTGCCCTTCCAGGACCATCTGTCCCAGGACTAATGGACATGAAGGACTCCAAAACAAGCAGTCAGGGGGCCACYGGCTGCCCCACAGAACCTCAGTCATTTCTCCCATTTGGAGAGCACAATCCAGGCTGCCCTCACAGCTGCGACTGAGGTGGAGGTGTTTACCAGCAAGCACTCATGGTGTCTGGCATGAGCCATATGCAAATCACAACCAGCAGACAGAAAAGGCCCTGGATAAGGCCAAAAAAGGGAGGGGTGGTAGGAGACAGTGCAGGTTGAGACCACTGAAATATTTTTTGTGCACACAGTACCTTGTTCAGCTGGGGGAATTCTAGCCTTGCCCTCTGCCATAGGAGCTGGGGGAGTTCTTTCTGTATCTTCGGAGCTGCTGAAACCTGGGACTGAACAAGGGGGCAGGTGCATCTTGTACTCTGCATTTATAGTACTCTGAGTACACCCTGCTGCAAGAATTTGAAAGGTAGTGGTTTGTGGACAGGCTCTCTGAACTTTTGTCCTCAGTGCAAAGAAATTTGAGAGGCAGAGAGATGTGGAGAACACCCCTAATCTGGTGGGAGATTATGGCTCTACAGGGATGGCCTGCATTGAGGACGAGGCTCCATGAAGCTCTTAGTTGGAAAAGCTAGAGAAGAWCACCCAAGGGCCTCTGCTCCCCTTATATTTCAACTGAAAGAGGAAGAGGCCTTGAAAAGGGAAGGCAAAAGGGAAAGAATAGGTAATTATTGGAACTCTAAGCATTTTCTTTTTGTGTTGTTGGTTGCTCCTTTCCAATCCCACCCCAATATTCAAATCTTCTCATTCTTCAAAGGAAGATAGAAAGCCTGAAAGATTCTGAAGAAGAAAGAAACTCCATTTGGCTATTCTTGCACTTAAATCCAACAGGCACAAACATCTCATATGTGGACAGGAAAACCACTCTGGAAATCCATGGAGTTCATACTTCCAAGGAAGGTTGGCTCCTCAGTTACTCTATGCTCCCAAATAGTGTATTACAGCAACAAGAGAGGGGCACATTCTCCCCAAAGAAATTGCCAGTGTGAGAAGGCTAGGCTTGCAGGGTGGCAGTTTCTTTAATCTCTGGCTCAGAGGAGTGAGACTTRTAAGAGCTCAGCATATCTCCAGATCAGGACTAAACATGGCTTCCTGCCTCACATTTCCCAATTTCCAGAAATAATTCTCTTCCTGCTACCCTACTTATATACTCTTAGACCATTCACAATAATCCCTCTACAGTTCTAAATGACACAGGAGAAGAATGGAACAAAGGCAATGCAAATGCCAGACTGTCCTGTGTGACTGCTTATGCTGTGGTTAGATGCTGTGCCAAGATTACATCTTTCCTACAAAAAATCATTAAAAATGATAATACAAAACAAGAATACAGAATGAAAACACTGTGGCAGGTTTTTACAACAGTCGCATCTTCTGAATAGCGCAACMCAGAATGACATCCATAAGGAGAGTAAGGAGAGAGAAATTAATAGTCTGGAGGAAATAGAGAGATTTTAAATTACATTTTAAATTACTTGAAATGAGAAGCTGATGAGACAGGGAGCCACAGGAAGTCTGCTTCCAATGGCAAACCAAGAGTGCTGCTATTTGTGGAGAGAAGGGGCAGTGCTGTAGGAAAAAAAGGGGCACGAGAAAGATGCAGGAAGTGAGATGAAGGGCACAGAGTCGGAAGCAACTCCATGGGATGGTAATGAGACTGAATAGTGTTTGTGGATTGAGTGCTGCAGAGGAGCTCTTTGGCACACAGGATAAAATCAAACAGCGATAGTGTATAAAAATTAGATTTAGGAATCTTCATCCTGGGGAGGCCAGCTCAGATGGAGCTGTTGTAATGAGATGTAAAAAAGATAGAGTTGATGCAGCTGCATTTGCAGGCAGAGCAGAAGTGTTAATAGGGAGATGCACCAGCAGAGGAGATGTTAGGAAAAAAAACTGGAGTTAGGGTGATGAAGGCAACAGGGCAGGGAAGAGAGGAATGAGAGCTAGTGTTGAAAGAGAATTAAAATGGAAGATATTTCACTGGAGAAGAAAAAGGCTACCTTCATGCTGGACTAACTCTGTATTGTTAGAAAAGCAGATGGGGTGATCAGAGCAGTCATCACCAACATCTAAAGCTGAGGGTTCCAAAGAACGTAAGAAACATTATTTGCATCATATCTGCATGCTGGTGGTTTTCTTTGACCAATTCAACAAACTAGCAAGCCACGGAAAGACGATCTGTGGTTTTTGCCAGAGAAACTGGCAAAATATATCTCAGGTCCATATAACTTGAAGATCAACAGCACAGTTTAAACATCAGACTTTCAATACTGCAACAAAGCCATCTCTAGAGCAAGACTGCAACTAGAAAATGAGAAAGAAGATGGGAGATACAGGATATGGAGGTTTATCAATTAAAGTGAGCAGGTTTCTATACAAAATGGGTGTGGATGCTTCTCTGTGAGTGCATAAAAGTACTCTTGTGACAGAGTGGTGTGGAACTCTGGCAGGCACCAAGTATGAGGTTATAAGGCTGCCAAACAGAAATCCCTCAGTTTCTGACTTATGTCCTCTTCCAAGCTAAACACTTCAAAAGTAACACATTCATTAGTGTGTGGAGGCACTGAGGTACTTAAAAGTCCAGAACATTATCACAAAGCACACCAAAGTGAAAATGTTTGCCCCAATTTTAGAGGGATCTGGGTGTTGTTATGAATGATTTGGGTACCCACAGATACCCAAGATAACTGTTTCAGATTGAGTCTTGAAGATACAACTCCTGTGCTCTCCATGTGAGACTCCTTATCTTCCACTGAATGGTAACCTTTGAAATGTTTGCTCAATGAAGATGATTGGGAAACAAAAAGTGTCCTCTCCTGAGCACTGGGGTATGACTTCTTCAAAAAAGGAATTACTTCCTTCTCTACTTAGAAGAGACAGTTGGAGAAGACTCAGATTCCCAGGATGGATTTTCCGCCATGATGAGTTGCTGGGATGTGAACTGTTTTGCCTCCCTTTCTCTTTCCATGCTGTGCTAAGGTTTGTATGTACAGCAGCCTCCTAATCAATAGAAATAGAAAAAAAAAAAATCAATTCCTGCAACCCATTAGCTTTAACAGAGGGCAGGCTGCTAACAAGTCATTCTAGCTGGAATTCAAGTATTTKGTAAAGCACCCTCAGTGAGGATATATGCATATATATTTATATATACACAGACACACACACAAACTTACCAAATATGACTAGCAGAGAAAATAAGTTGTGAAAACATTCCCCCTCCCACCAGCATGTCTATCCCTATATATTTGCATAACTATGCTAAACTAAAGACACTCTTCCCCACTCAGATGCTGTCTCTCATAGTTCTCGCCAGAGGACACATTTCTCTATTTCTTAATCAATAAATCCAGGCTACCTTCATGCTGGACTATCTTGTGTATAAATCAATTCACGGCTCTGCACTCACCCCTGCATTAACCATATACCATAGAAATTAATATTAAGACCCACTTATTCACAACCATACAGCCATTGTTTGTCCTTTTCTGCATCCCCAGATCCTTCAAGGGAACCCTCTTTTTAGTTCCTATTCACATCCAAAACCAGGCACAGTTCCCCCTGACATCTACATACATCCAACTCTGAAAGCATGTTCCAGCAAACAARAAGTTGGTGATTTTTGTAACAAATTTTGTAATCAGAATCTGTTCTAGGGTAGAAAGCACAGGGAAGGATCTCAAGAATGGATCGGAGAGGCAGTGGATTGCACTGCCCGTTGTGCCTGAAATACGGCCACTAATAACTATGTTGCCCCCAATAAAGCCTTTCCTTTGTCCATTCATCCACTGACTCTTAATGAGATTAGACTATCACTCCTGATTTGTCTCTGATGGAAGGGGTGGGCCCTTCTGGTCAACTTCAGAAACTCCAGATTAAAAGCAGTATCATTTCTTGACAAAGAGTTTAATGAAACTCCACTGAGGAAATGCACGCAGGCTGTGGTTTGGTTCTTATAGGAAAAAAAGGACTGTTTCCATGTAAACAGCAGTAATCAGAGAATTGCAAAGAATAAGTCAAAAAAGAGACAGACGTTACTTTTTTCTAAAAGCTTTCAGAATCTTCTTGGAAGCATCAGTGCAATGATAAATGCTGACGTAAAGGTGAGGCCTACAGTGAGAAGGTTTGTGTTGACACTGATCGATATCCTGTGATATCCGTCTTCCTTTCAGTGTAAAGGGCACAGAAGGGGACAGACAAGAGGATCTTGTGCAGCCACATCTATTCAGTATCATCATTTAAAGCCACAATCTGGCCCTAATATGAGCTTTTGCCATCCAGACCTCTGCAGCCACAGAGGTATCACTGGGACTCTCTCCATGGATAGACTTCACTCTCCTAGGTCTGGTGGTACTGACACTGGTAACCCTTCTGCAAGACAGCTATGCAGACTTCCATCTTTAGGATATCCTGAGTTTTCTTCTGTCAGATAGTTTAGGTATCAGGGCAGAAATATTGGACATTTAAACTATTATGGAGTTAAAAGTATTCTTGAAGGAACATCTCAAGAAAAGCAAGAAAAAGTTAGTGTGTAGGATGGGGTATTTCATCCCTCTGAATTTTCAGAGGGATAAATCAAGAGCAGCACATATCACAACACCTATTCAGGAGTTCAGTGAGTTGGCATTTTTAGAGAACTCAGAATCACCGTATCCCACTGATGTCAGTTACAGGCTACCAATTTCAATGTGCGAAGGGTTTACTTCTTTAGCCATACATAGGGAGGGAGTCATTCCATGAGATGCACAAGTACCTAAGTCACTGTTTCAGAGAAAGTCAGCTGATCTATTGTGACCACAGAGCTCTTGTATTGTATGAATTACTAGGATTTGTTTTCACATTACCGTTGTAATAGGTTAGGGTCCCCCATGTGAATTCCTATAGAGGAATTMGGTTAAACACATCAGATTAGGCCAGTCAAATGCTAGTCTGGAGCATAATGGTGATGCACAGAAGAGTATTCCATGGGTAGAAATTGTTGAGAGGTAGTATTCTCTGCCTTGGGAATAAAGACCTAATTAAAAAAGGAAGCAAAATACATACATCTATTTAGGCTTCTAACTCCATGTTTACACAAGGAACAGTCCTGATTTTCAGTTGTGTTAAGCAGTCAGTATCTTACATCTAATTACAGAGATATAGGGGCTTCATACACCTCTGAAAATCTGGATTTCTGTTTTGATGTTTTAATGTCAATTTAACAGAATAGCTTTGATCTCATAAACAAACAAATTTCTTAATAGAAACRAAATCAAAAGTCCCAAGGTTAAATGGTGGGTTTATCAATATTTGATACTTTCAGTCATTCACTGCAGCTACTGATCACTTCTGAAAATTTCTGGGAAAAATCAGAAACAGAGTTTACTCATATGGTCGCAAATCATGGGAAGTGAGCAGTCTACTGTAAAACAAAACAATACCCAGAAGTGCACTTGGTTCATACAGCTCCACCAGACCAAGCTCAGGGCCTTGATGCTGCTATGTGGGTCTCTCTGGCAGCACTGACCCCAGCAGAAGCTGACTGAGTACTCCAGCCAATCCTTCCTCCAAGGGTGTGGGGTTACAGTTCTCCTTTGTGCTTGCTTCTCTAATCTGTTTGCTTGGTTGCTGTCCTCTTTGACACAGTGAGCAAGCCTGGCAGAGGACACAGGGAAGCATCTCTCAGCCATGCTCCGCAGCCCAGAGCAGCAACATGGGAACATACACAGGAGTAGGCAGCTCAGAGCAGGAGAAAAGCTGTTTTTCCCTTGGGTTATGGGGGTGGCTGGGAGATGAGCAATCCCCTGTGCAGAGCTGGTCCTCCTCCCATGCTCACCACTACTGCATTCTCTGATAGGATGGTTTTCCTGTGTCTGCTAGATAAAACTATTAATTTGCCATCTTTCCACTAGCCAGTCTGAAATGACGAAACACTTCTCTATTTCACAGACCATTGGGACTCTTCTCTGCAACTGACCTATATTGGTTATAAGCTTCATTTGTTCTGGCCTGCACTCCTCTCTCTTCTCCCACATGGAGCACAGGCACTGCTCCTCCCCCTCAAACAAACACCTTTACACATCCAAGGACATTGTAAAAATAAAATGATCACAACCTGGCCCTCCGGGAACCTCGGTTTTACAGTTTGTCCTGCTCTGATGCCTGCTCTGGTGCCAACAGAATTCACAGCCCAGTTCAAGAGAGACAGACAGTGAGTGAGAGAAAGCAGGCGGACAGGCACAGACAGAAGGAGATGGAGGAATGAGGGAGAAAGAAAAGGAGCAGAAGTAAAGAAACAAGGCTCCTAGTCTAGAACACAAAACAAATAGGGGAATGGAGTTACAGGGACAATTAAAAATATAGAAAATGCAAGAAAAAGAGAAAGAAGTAGATAAAAAAAAGAAAATGCAAGAAAAAGAGAAAGAAGTAGATAAAAAAAAAAGAAAAAACAACAGAGGAAAGAACAGAAGAGAAAATAAATTGTCTAAGGGAAGCGGGGGAGGTCAAGTCAGGCAGCAAAACAAAGTGCTGTCTGTGAAACAAGGCAGAAGAAATAAGAAGGTGCCTGTGAATCTGGGTACCATTTTTTYATGTTTCCTTTTCTAGTGTGAGTACACTGTGAGGAAAAGGGCAAGAGGAAAGGGAAAAGAGGATAAATAAATGTCTGAGCTGCCATCTTAAACACCTTCCAATAGTCAAGCAGATATGCTTGAAATAGGCAGTCCACAGGTTGCAAACACATTGCAGTTCAGGCAGGAAACAGTCTGCACTAGCATAGTGGCATTTACATTCCTGGGTCCACTGGGTCTCTCTGTGCACTGGCAGTGAGCCCTGCATGCATAAAAATACTTCTGTTTAGTACTGGGGAATTGTGCTCTGATGTTTGCCCTGTATCCTCTCTCAGGTTCCAATAGGAAAACCTCAGCTCTAAACATGAGTGCTGTTAGTCTCTCTTTTCGTATGAATCCCTTCCTCCCCCACTGCCTGATGCAAGCTCTTGTTTGCACTCCAAGGTTTCATCCCTAGTCCTGTTCTTTTGTTGCTCTGCTTTCACTCTCCTCTTTCGTTGTGGCTCCTCTTCCGGCCATTCATTCAGCTCACTGTTACACAGGGCTCACACACAGAGAATTTATCTCCACCTCCATAGTTATCCGCTCACCTATGAGTGTAGTACCTGGCTGGAACACATCTCCCTCCCACAGGCAATCCATGGATTCCCACACCATAACCCTGCCAAATCTGCCTGTCTTTCCTTCCTTCACGGCCTTTCTCTTGCTGTCCCCCAGCCAGTCAATTTCTTTGTCTCTCCCTGCACAGTTTCTTATGCTTTTTCCTCCCTTCAAACCATTCTTCTCCCTTCTCCCCAACTCTGCCCATCTGTCAGCCTGTCCCTCCTTCCCACAGTTCTCTCCAGCTGATATACATGTACCCCAGTGACTCTCTCCCCCTCTCCCCCTGCCACAATTCATCTTTGTGTCTCCTACACACCCAGGCCCACACTTGCTCTCTCCCATACTGAGAGGAGGCGGCAGCAAAGAATTTGCTGCTGACCGCTGCATTGCTAGAAGGCAAACACATGGCTGGCCTTGTGCAGGCCAGTTTCTGCCTGAGTGCCCCAAGTCACATATCCCCAGCATCATCTCTGGCACTGGGAAAACAGATGGTATAATAAATGAGCGCAGTCTGATAAAAGGAGGAAGGGTGCCTGCCTCGGATACTCCTCACGCGTGCAGAGACACACACCCGACGTGGGCACAGCCCTCCCATTCCTATACCAGTCCAGCTTTGTGCCAGATCTAGCCAGCTGAACAGGACACAAGCTCATTCCTAGTACCAGATGGAAAGGGGTAGGAGAGGGTGGTAGTGGATAGAATGACCAGTGGCTATTTTTCCGACCACAGCTTATAATCCTGGAAAGCAAAGTACATGGGAGGAACTAAGCAGTGTTAAGGTCATGGGGAAAGCTGATATCATGGGAGGTGTGGCAGAATTGTGGGGACATATAGGACCTCCACATGCAGAGACAGGAGGAAAAAGGCAAGAGGCATGGATAGGGAAGAGGAATCAGGAATTAAAATAGATGCAGTCTGAGATGGCATTCAGGGATCACTTCTATCTCAGTGAAGAGGGAAAGCCTACCTACTGGCAATCTTAGCTGTGAGAGCCATCAAGAGCAACAACATATTCTGCTTAAGGGAAACAGCCCCATAATTCAAAAGTTACAGAAACCAGAGAGCAGGGTTTGCATTATTCTGCTTTTGCTCATACCAGAACTGTCCTCCTGCTCTTACCCAGTTCCATGACATTGTCCAATAATGCTCCTTTACCTCCTTCACTACCTCCTCAGATACCTCCATCCAGAGACTTGCAGCATCCTTTCCTCTGCATTTACCTGTTAGAAGAAAGCCATACTTGTTACCCTTTCCAAACCCACCAGCATTTCTTCCTCATCCAACACTTTCACATTCATTGCAGCCTCTCTCTGCTGACAACAGCACGGAAAAGCATTCTTAACTCTGCAAGACATCTTTCCTGGATACTCTGTTCTGCTGTGCCTACAACCTGATTTTATGCCTGATGCTTCAGCTACAGCCTGAATCTCAATGCTTTCAGTTTCACAGTCCTCAAACTGAAGCCACCCAACATCACAGAAAGAAAGCCCTAGATATGGCCCACAATGGCCACACATACCTGTTAGACTAAGGGAGAGAAACGCTTCACAGGAATCAAAATGAATCARCAAAAGCAGAGAAGGGAAACCAATGCAGAAAATACTCCTTCCATCCTTCCACTGTATGAACTGATTGTAAAGTTTCTGTTGTGAGGTATCAGTGCTCAAGTTGTAGTGGGCATTTCTGCTTGGTCAGGTGAAGTGGAATTTCTTTCCATCCCCTGAATGTATTCATGATGCAGCATCACAATTAGGTGTAACTCTGTGTGTTGTTCCCCACTCCACACCCTCCCCGCCAAAAAAATWAATGAAGAGTTTAAGCAGAAAGGTCATGACACTTTCTGGCAAGGGAAAATAGAGGTAGTGATGGAATTATTTTGTGTTTTAAATGTGTTTATGAAGATATGTGGGTACCAATTGTAGATATCTATTTCTGTCTACTCAGAAATTCCCTCAGAAGAGTTGTACTCAAAATACAAATTTTCAACATCTCTTCACTCTTCCACCCTGATAGTCTTATAGTGACCTTAGACTACCTACTCTTTTTTTTTTTCTGGTCACACCTGGATACACTGTCTCCAGCCACTGCTGCTCATAGCATCATAGCTTGCTGTTACCTCCCTACTCTATTCCTAGGTTAATCATTCTGGATYCTCACTACTGCCCTTTCAAATGCCAATGTCAACCCTGTCACACAGACTTTAACTCTTCCTGCCTTGTTCTAATGCAGGCCCTACATTTTCAACCTATACTGATGCCTACCTCTGACCTTCCTCATCATGGCTCTGAATTCCCCGTCTGCCCTTGGCCCTGAGAGCTTGGTCYTGAAAATCTCCTTTCAGTTATTTATTCTTACTATCTACCCTTCCACCTACAAGGTCATCCAGCTCTACACCGTATCCTCAATTTCCCTCAGTGGCTCATGCAAAAATTACTTTTCGTCGCACTTGATTTCCATACAGCATTYTAAAAGGCAGGAAAAGCCTTAGGTCTTCCCATACCTAAATCCCACCCTCCCAATATGCCTCAGCAAATCCTTTGGACTCTTCATGAAGCAATATAGATCCACATATTTCCTACATATTTCTGTTCTCCTACTGCTTGTGTATTTTCCCTGTTTGGGACACAGAAGTCAATCACTTTTGCCTTTATTCCCTTGTCCTCACAGTCCATAACTTGCAGCCCTCATATTGTCTATTTTTCTAGTACTTGTGCAGAAAAATTACAGGCTCCACATCCCTGACCCCAGCTTGACATGTAGGGTCTGTCACATTTCCCTTTTAAACATTGCCAGATTAAATCTTAGAGATAGGAAAGARAGCAATTCTAAGTTTCTCTTGACAAGCAGCTCCAGGGGAGAAAATATGTGAAGCCATGACAGAAGAATGAGAGACCTCCAAGGAGTAAAAAAAAAGCCACCAAAAATCCCCACCAAACCTCCAAGTTAGAATAAGAACAGCCAGTGTCTGATGAAGTTACACTGCAACAAGCTCTGAAGAGCTGAGATGAGACTGCCAGGACTCAGCTGGTGGTCTTCTGCCAGGAAATTATGCCCTAGACTGAGCAACATCCCCATCTCTCAGGTGACTTCCACAGGGAGTCACAACAGCTAAAGAGCCCTGAAAAGACTTGAGATTGARTAGTTTTCTTTTTTCTCCCTCCACCGACCACTGTTGTTCCAGGTCAGCAGAGCCAAGTGCAACTGGCACAGAAGACATTGTTCTCCAGGCAAGATGACAGCAGGAGAAGGAAACAGGACACGAGAAGTAGAGAGATGATGTGCTCTTAGGCCAAAAGAGATGTTGTGGAGGCCAACACAGCCCTTGAAGAGCTCCTGCTCAGACACCACCTCTGCTGTAAGGTCCTAGAAGTCCCTCAGCCCCAGGTTCCACAGAGTATCATCTACAAGATGGAAAAATTACTAGAAAAGCTGAGGTGGATATTCTCCATCAAGGAGTGGATATGAGATAGGAGGACTGAGAATGCATTGTCAGAGAGGAGTCCTATCATGCAGGCATCAATAATAGGGATGTCTTCTTGCCACTAGCAAATAATCTGCCATCACACTGTTGTCTCTGTACAGGCAGATGAGACCACAACTGCAAGCAATTGCCACCAGAAGATCATAGATACAGTAATTATTAAGAACGGAGAACAGTCTTGAGCTGGGTAAGGACCCCCATGGACCTGCATAAGCATCAGTAGAAAGCAGTTGCTGCCTCCAGAACAGAAATGCAGTGTTTTCCCTGCTGTCAGCACCTGCGTCAGGCTCCCAGTTTCTGTTGAGATACAGATCTTAATTGGGATAGATTGTACGTTTTCTGCTGCAGCCCAGCCCAGCTCCCAGTTTAATTGCTAGTTTGTGACTTAGCCTGTTTTGTGCTTTCGACGCTACTTCTTTCCTCACTTAATCTAATAGAATTATAGAAAGTATTGCTGGGAGTACCTCAGGAGGCCACACAGTTTATCATTCTGCCCCAAGGCAGTATTTCATTTTCAACAACATCATGTGTCTTTTGCTATCAGGTCAGATTGGTCCAAGATGTACAGTGGGCAAAGAAATGAAGCTTCCCCAGGGGAGTCAACTGGCATAAAAGACTAAATCTAGCCCTTTAAGCCACCAAAGTTATATCAGAAATAACCCTGGTCCAAATGGTGTCGTTTATCAGATCAGTATTTTAAAAGATGTTCTTTTTTAAGATTTAAGWCTCTTAAATGAACAAATCTCTAGAAGAAACTGTTTTGACAGCCCCATTTCAGTATATTTAATGCTTTATTATGAATAGCAGTGACCGCTCCATTGTTAGAACTTAACAGATTTTATCACTGAATGATCAGCTTTCAAACTCCTATTAACTCCCACAATAAAACCTCATCTTTCTGGAATTTTACATCCCGAATTTCACTCCACAGTAGACTATGTCTGGCAAGACAAAACCAAACCATTAAAGCATCTTTATTATGACAACTTTACACAAATGAATTTCCAGTAAAATTTCAGAATGTCAGGCTGCTTCTTAAGGCTTTTTCTTCCAAGACAATTTGACTAAAAATTTCACTTTTGTTTCCTTTCGTCTATTAATCTAAGAAGAAATGTCTTGCGGCCTTAGGAGTAGATAATGCAGAAATTAGAAGGATAAAAAAAAATCAGCTGGTGATGTATCAAGCTAAGTAAAGCAGGGCACAAGTATAACAGAGATTCTGTGCAGACCCATGAGAACCAAAGGAAAGGTAAGACGGAGGAAAGGAATGGTTTTGTCTAACCAAATAAGCAAGCAGGAAAAAGGGCTATATATCTATTAAAAACAGTTAAAGGCCTGCTTGTTTCCTCCCCCTTCTTTGGAAATTTCAGTTCTGGTTGAGTTGGGTCTTTTCTGTGTTGTAACACTCATGCTGAGCACCTGCAGCACTCCACAGCTGGACAAAATAGGGAAGCTGTAAGAAGATAACAAGCTTCCTGGTCAGGACACAGGCTTTCTGTCTTCCTCCCACTGCTCTCTGCAGCATTTGTAATTCAGACTGATGCTAAGCATATAAACAACAAACATGCATCCTCACCCTACAGATGTGACTGCCACAGTTAGTAAACAGGTAGGAGAAACTTAATAACGGCTTCAGACTCTTAATCATCCTTCTGATCCAGCCCACCCTGAACTCCTTCACACAGAGACAAAACTATGTCTCACAACCTTCCCATGTTTGGCTCCCATGTTCTCCACTCATTCATCACTACCAGCCTCTACAACCAAGGTCACAATTAAGCCAAAAAAATAGCAACAAGCACCACCTCCATCAAGCTGGTATTATTTAGCATATTAGCCAGGAAGCACAATATATTATGCTTTTAAAATGCACTTGGAAGGGTTGAGATGGCTATTATCAAACGCACCATTTTGATGGACATTAAATTGTGTCCACATTAGTGCTTGAAATAGTCCTTTAAAAAGCAACATGCTTTAGACACAACTTCTTTTCTAATCGTAGTTATGACCTGTGGAAAAGGGAAAGGGGCAGTGGGTGAATCCTCACTGTTAGCTAATTAGATCATACATTTTCTCTCTCAGGCAATACATCTTACCCTCCATAGGATGCATTTTTCTTCACTAACTTCTCAAAAGCAGCTTCCCTATAAATCACAATCACCACTGCAAGCATTCCCTTAATGAGCTCCTCCAGCTTTTGCAATTATTTTATAAAACAGCATTCACCAATCTTCATCTTACTGGTGCATTTAGACTGTTTATGTGAAGTTATGGGAGGTCCTTCTGATGTGGAGAGATGGACTCCCTGGTTAAACATTGCATAGAATTCCTTTTATTACCTACTCCCAGGGTATTCATCCTCCCTGGATACACCATGTCACAGGCGATGTACACATCTGGTATGTTATTTTCAATATGAAAAAATATGTGTCTTGTTTTGTAATCACATCATCAAGAGAAACAGGGGGAAATGAGATACCAAGTTAAAACAGACCTTCTTTAGTTCTTTAACTAGATCAGCACAGCATCCAAAACAATGTTTATTCTTACTAGTCAAAGGTACCAGCACCTGCAGGCAAGAGTCTATACAGCCTATGCAAATCAACAGACAGCTCGCAGGATTAACAAGACAACCTGAGTAAGATGCAAATGCCAGTAATGCTAATCCAATTCAAAAAAAAGAGTGAGTCTTCTAGTTCCCCAAAGTTCATGGAGGACCCTTTCCTTCTTTGGAGAAAGCAGGAGCTTTGCCAGATAGCTCTGTCATTTTTGAGTTTGCTTCTAGCAAAAGAACCTCGTTTTCATTTCTTGTAGACTGAGCTCCTACTCATCCTCTTTAGTTGCTATTTATGCTCCCTAGCTAGTTCTCAGCATCAACACTCTGTTGCTAGTGAAATAAGCCCAATGCTTCTCCATATTCTTGAAGTGCGTCATAAACTCTGCTACAACATCTGCAGCCATATTTCTTACGCTCAATTCAATGTACTGTTCCTAGCACTGGGTATAAAAATGATTATAAACCACATGTAYAAAAGTCTTGAAACACAGATTCCTGAAAAGCCTGTCTGAAAAATCACTCAGTGCTTAGTCTCTACAAAGCTCAGCTTCCTTTGCCCAAGGGAGCCTACCATAATCTGGAAGAGAACGGTTAAATTTTTGAAAGTCTTGGTGTTTGGCTCAGTTACAAGGCAGCACCTTACCACAGATGTTTTCGCATATGGCACTAGCAAAGACTCTTACACATACAACATCAGTACTCCATGCAAAAGAGTAGCTCTCTCTAGGCTTTTACCCTTTCTAATATGAAACTTCTAGCCAGACACAGCTGAGCCAGAGTAACTTAGCTGGGCTGTCTTTCATTTCTTTAGTCCTGTTTCCACTAGCAACATCAGAATCGTGGTCTTTTATCCGAAATTCAATGACAAGCAGAGGGAGTTTAATAAGAAGACTCTGATTTTGAGACTGAGAACTGAACCTAATCAGAATGGTATTGCTAAATTCAGCTGACACAAAAATATGTGAGATGATCAAAAAAAGGAAGAAGAAAAGGCAATTGGTTGTAAGTTTTGGACTCGTCTTTAGAATAGAAAAGGTATTCTTGTAATTTGACTCCATTTTGCAGTTAAGCCAATTTGGATGTGCCTGCAGGAAGCCCTTTCCGCTTAAAGGGASGGCATAGCCTTTGGAGAAGTCCTATGACCTGGGACCAGCAGAGGGCACTGTGTCACCAAGTGACAGTGGTTGGACGCCACACAGCTCCCACAAGGCAGGGACAGTAAGCCACACGAAAGGAAAGAAACAGATTCTAGAAACTGCAAACATAGATTAGTCACCAGCATATCAGTCCTACAACTGATAAGGGCAACACTGTTGAAACTGGCCTCCAACTCTGGGCACTCCAGGAAACACATCTAAATCCAGCTCTGTCCCCACACATTTCAGTCTCCAGGTGTTGATTTTCAGGCATAGGCCTCCTCCTGAAAATGCTTTTCAAGGGGTCCTGCCCTGCAGTGTAGGTATGAAGGCTGGCTTAAGTCAAAAAACATCCTGTCGGCTTCCCCTCTCCTTTTCCAAACCTCTAAATCCTTGCTTGTCGCAGCAGGAAGTCTGTTCAGACAAAAGGATTTCAAAGCAAAGAGCTGGCAATTTCCATTCTGCCCTCCCCTTTTACTCTCCGCCTCCTCCAACCTAGCAGATTTTCAGTGAGCAGAGAACCAAGTTAGAGGACACGAAAGGAATGCTGAGGTAGCAACTTCAGAAAAGTGTCTTTCCACTTGCTTATTTCTAGTTTATTTTGAATTACCAGAGGATGACCATGAAGAAGCAAATAGCTCATATTTTTCTTCTCTCTGTATTCAGTCCAGCAGAATTCTCAACACTAGAAGAAGCTTAGAGGATAAATAAGTCATACCAGTCATGCCAGTGAGAGAAAAGTTTCCACTTTCTCTTTGTACAGTTGGTGGAATAATTTTGCCAGGATGTGGAAAGGGGCCTCAAAATTTTTCATTTCCTTCTGTAAAGAAATAAGAAAGTTGTGAATGGCAGATGGAATAAGCATTTGACTATTTCTGCTCTGCTTCATCAAAGAAGGATTAAAACTGAGTTAGATGACAAACAAGGGGAAAATAGTCCCCAATTATCCTTCTTTGCCTGAAAGAGAAGATAACTTTGTAAACATCCCCTTCCACAGATGGTGAAAGGAGCAGATACTCACCACTGACATCTCACAGTATTCCAGGCCATGTTGCTCAGCCCACTCCTGTGCTTGTTTCTGCTCCACAACTCGACGGTTAGCTAAGTCTGTTTTATTCCCTACTAAGACACCTACAGAAAAAAAGACATGAAACTGAAGAAAAAACCCAGCCCATCAAGGCTGACTTGTAAGCCATAAGTGCTGGAACATTTGTAGACGTCACTGAAAAAGTTTGAGCTGTGGAGAACAGTCTATAACTACCTAGAAAAGGTTCCAGAAAGGAAACATATTTAAGCCTTATTTGCTTTGTGATAAAAGCAAAGGAGTTGGAGGAAAACAACTGATAAGTCTTTCCCTGACTTAAAATAAATGCTCTATGCCACAGCTCAACAGAAAAATCTGTTGTCATACAAGAGAGGAGTAGACAACAAGAATCACACCCATTCTTACCAGGCACATGCACCCCAGCTGCTTGAGCCCTTAGCTTCTCCAACCATTTGTTACAGCCGTCAAAGGATTGCTCATTAGTGACATCATACACAAGGCACAGGACGTTGGGTTGCTCCCACTGCACAGCAAGGAAGGAACACTGTCAGCTCTAATGAAACTGATGTGGTCAACAGCCAGGCTGTAAACATGGTGAACACAGCTGCTAAGATGAAAATAAAAAGCCTAATACCCAGGAATCCTATGTCCTGGCTGAGGTTTCACATTTCAGTTGACTCAACTAAATCATTGGCATTGGGAGAGGTGGCCATGCTTTCTTCCCTAGTCCTGTCTGTACAGTCCTGCCCCTTTACTTGTATCAGCTCTGGCACTCATTTGATTCCTGGGAAAGCTGATTTTTCATGTTGAATCAGCACAAAATTAATCCTAGAGAAAAAAAGTAGAAGGGTTTTCTTCCAGTTTGAGAAGCTGAGACAGCKTGTAGAGGAGTCACTTGCAAGCCAGATCTAATATAAGGGCAAAAGTGGAATCACTCTTGTAGACAATGAACCACTAGGCTGACTTAGCCATCTTATGAAAGCTCACATCAATTAACTGATTCTGCCTCTCAAAATGAGGTAACACAGTAGAGAACTGGACAGGGAAGGTCATAAATATGTGAAGGAAAAAATCCAAGCGCAGAATAATGTTCAAGGACAAGAATGAATCCTGTTGGATCAAACACATCACTGTAACACAAAAAAACCTCCCACTGTTGAAGTTGCAGCCAAACAGATGTTTTTCTAAGAAATAAAAATAATTTTAAACAAAAGTACACAGAAATTCTCAGTTAAAAATGCCTAATTATTTTGTAAGAAAACTGCCTATCCAYTTTTCTTTCTCTGGAAAGTATTTCTTCTAGTACTTTTACAAGTTTTAGAGACATAGAACAGGATGCATTGGCAACTGAGGTAATTGCTCCCATTTACACTAAAGACAAAGTTTGCTACATCTGACAGACTGAGGAGTTCAGATCTTCAAAGCAAAAGCACTTCTTTGGAAGAAGAGGACTGTTACATAAGACTTACYAGTTTCTCCAGCATTTCAGAAAATAGATCTTTTCCTGCAGAGTCAAAAATGAAGAATTCCTGAAAGCGGAAACAGAAAGAAAGCTCTTGCCAAGAAAAATGCGGTGTAGGGAGAGGTTTTGAAAGTAAGTAGTGCAACTTGTAACTTCAACGTTTTATTCAGTACAGCAGTGTCATGTCCCTAAGGGACAAATTCCTTGCACTGAGAAAACTCCAGTGTGAGAAAATAAATAGCTATTTTTTACGTATAACCAATAAAAGAGTTATTTCCAAGGCTCCCAGTCTTGTTTCCACCCCTACCAGAAACAGAATATGTGGAGTGGGACAGTTACCTGTACTACTAAAACAAAATTATCCAGTGGTCCACATTCCATTAATGATAGTATAGGGCATCAAGGAAAAATAACAGATAAGCTTCAGGTCTGTAGTTCCAAGAAATCATGAACTAAACCTGAATTCCCTAAAGGACAGAACAGAATTTCAACAAAGCTAACAATAAATTTGGTTTAAAATAYTGTGTAGGATACAAGTATATATTACATTTTAAAGACTAAAATAACCCTGGAGTATCAGCAGTTATACATGATCAGCCTCATTTCCTTGATGCAACTTCATTGCCACATGAACATGCATAGTGATCTTCCACCAGAATGAGACTCATGTGGGGCTTGAGCTCTGGATGTCTCTTTCTGACCCAGTTTATTTCACAGAAAAACTCACCACACTATCACTTGTCTCTGGAATTGATACAGCCTTCACCAACAGTTCTATGCCCGTTGTCTGTCAAGAGGAATCAGGAAAATGAGGATCAGGAAAGTTTTTAAGAGCCTGTCCAACTGCATGCCAACTATGCATTGGATTGAGGCAATTCTTCTGAATCATTACAATTCCATCAAATACAGACTGCTGGAAAGTCAGAAATACTCCTCCTAGCTCTGGTAACTTAATCTCACCAATATGTCAAAGACTCGTAGATTTGCTCAGCTGGGGGAAAAAGGAGGAGACCCAAAGAGCCTATATACAGCTCCGAGTATTAGCTGAAGTCTGCAGGCCTACGTTCACTCTCACATTACTGCTCTGATGCACACCTTAAAATGTTTTGCACCAACCATATGATGAGCTAACATATGGGACTGAGATTATTTGTGCTTCTTCCACCTTTTATCTCATTCTGCTTTGTAGCTCATTTGTTTGTTCTATTTCTATCCTTAAATTCTGGTTTACATCTTTATTTCAATGAATAAACATATTTTAGGGKTTTTTTTCTCTATACTCATATTTTCCATTTTTTACTTTACTTTTATTTACTTTTATTTTTATCCTGCTTCTGATTAGTCATCACCATTGATTCTCACACTGAAAAACTGCAAACTGTATCCTCTTCATCTGGGAACAGTTTCTGTAGATTATAATTATCTTGGGGCTATGCAGCACATTTTCGTGTTTGCACAGTGATAAGCGCACTGTCCACATGCACATTTAATAGCTGGAATTAAAAGATTTCTCCTTCAGCAATGCTTTTTCATAGAGTAGTCCCTAAAGGGGGAAGCTGTCTAACACCACAAAACCTTGTGAAAACATTGGTTTAGCAGGAAAATCACAAAATTAACTAAATTATTCTGCSTTAAGTTTCAACACCAATACTCACATAATGCAGACTTACAGAACATTATATGTTTTCTCTTCAGATTCACAAGTGCCAGAAGGAAAACCCTCTAAGATCCCACCTTGAATGTCTCAACTCAAAATCATATTTAATTTGTTCTAGGTCTCTCAGTTTTCCCATTCATCTTAGAAAAATCTTAGGCAGCAGTTTTAGCTTGTTGTACGTTTACCAGTGTGTAGTTCTTCTGAAAATGAGCCCCATCACTGTGAAACATCTGGGCTAAAGCACTCTTACCCACAGCTGGCTCTCCTGCAAAATGAAAAACACAAAACATTTTTGTTTCATACYAAGGAATCTTATCTTTCCTCAGTTCTGTTACTGTCACATGTTGTAAGAGCTTGGATGCTCTGACTCTGAATACAGGCAAGATAACTGTCACATGAAGCACAAAATAATCTAAAAGGTAATATCCACATGAGRAAATTCATATTGCCATTGTGCTGACATCTGATTTCTGATCCATGAACAATGGCAAAGGACTGCCAGATCAGGATGGCACTGCAATTTGTTMCAAAATTCATGCCTACCCCATTGCCCTTACCTAGGAATTAAAATTTCCTAGATACATTACCATGCAGAAAAAAATATAGTGTGATAAGGAACACTAAGCTTCCTATGAAGCTATTTCCCCTCCTTAGGTTACCCATTTCTCCAGATTCAAATCCTTGTTATATACTGAGACAAAGCTGCTTAAGCTGGTAACATTCCTCAATGAATTCTTCTTGCTGACCCTGCTAAGAGAGCAATTCTTGCTGACTCAGTGCTGCTGGTGGCTCATTAGTAGCATCCTGGGCATAACAGAAGCAAACGTCAAAGAGAAAGCACATGGCTGGAGAGAAGAGCCTGCTGATTCATCCCTGCATGGAAGGAAAACGAAGAGGCTTTGATTTTGCTCTTCTAGAGCCAAGGCTTTCTGATATGGCTTGCACTACACTTCAGACAAACCTGGCAGCTGCCTGCTTTGGCCTGCTCTTACAAAACTCTGTAAGATCCAAAGCAATCACAGAATCACAGAGTCAGCTGAGTTGGAAGAGATCCACAAAGATCACCAGGTCCATCTCCTGGCCCTGCACAGGAACATCCCCAAGAATCATGCCAGGTGCCAAGAGTATTGCTCAAACACTCCTTGACCTCTGTCAGGCTTGGTGCTGTGACCACTTCCATGGGCRGTCTGTTCCAGTGCCCAACCACACTCTGGGTGAARAACTTTTTTCTCATATCCAACCTAAACCTCCCCTGGCACAACTTCAGACCATTTCCTCAGGCTCTGCAGAACTCACATATGCTGGTATTACTTCATGATAAATATCATAACCCTCACAAAACAAAGACTTAATGCTTCCAAAGAGCTTATTGTTTCCTCACTTAATGTCTCACTAAACCAGAGAGTTAAAAGGATAAGAGCCAGTWATTAAATACCTCAGCGGTTCAAGCTTTACCTTTAAAGGCACACTCATAACAGCCAAGCCTGGAATACAAGTCTTTTACATTATGCTCTATTAATAMATAAACCCAGAAAGGAAGTATTTTACATTATGTTGTTAATAAATAAGCCAAGAAAGTGGTATATTTTTCATTCAATTACAGCTTCCTAATAGTGTTTTGAAGAAAATTGGTAAAGTTCTTTGCTCACATACTCCTACAGAGAAGGAAGGATGTTTTGGATAGTGACAATTACCCCTAGATGCATTAACCAAATGTAGTTCTTGTTTAAACATTTTTAGCATGCTTGCTTACTTTGAGCTGAGTTGGGCTTATAATATTTAGACAGGAAAATCTGGTAAGTCAGCTTGTTTGTTCTCTGATCAATTCAAGCCTGTGCGGAAGACAACACTCTGTTCTGAGTGGAAGCTATTCTGTATTTCAATAGACAATTAGATCTGTCTTTGTAAAATGAGATAGAGAGGCACACATTGCTCCAAACTGTGCAGGCATCAAGCCAGCACAAATTCTTAACTAATGCATTGCCTTTCCTTCACTTGACAGCCCCAGGTGTTCTTTGCCTCTTCTTCTTTGCCATACTCTTTAGTCCATCAGATCACTATACTTCCTAAAAGTAAGTGTCCTTGCCCTTTTCAGTTTAGTCTCATGTGCCAGTAGTGTATCCCACAGAATATATTCTACCCATATTTCTGCTAGAAAAGTTTTTGCCAGAATCTGTAGTGCCTTTCCTAAATGACTGCTACTGCCAGCTGATTCTACAATGAAAACCTTTGTGTAGTGTCTGCCTAGTAAGCTCATACAAAAGATTCTTTTACTTCATGTCTGTAAATTACCCTTAAGATAACCCAGGAATTGTTTTCTATTGCCAATTTAATAGTCTCTGTTTTGCTAATGAAAGCTCTTTCCCCCTGCTCTCTTTGACCTTGGTGTAGCTCTCAATTCTGTGAGTCACTAGCTCTTCAAAAGTATTTCCTTAGGTCCACAAGAGCTCCAAGTTCCATTTCTGATGGGTTTGCTCCACCTTATGCATTGCATTTTCTTTTTCCCTTTAGGTTGTTGTGGTTAGTCACATCTTAAGTTCCTTTTACTACAACTGGTCTCTTCTGCAAGAGAGAACRTATTTTGCCTGGTCTGCTTCATTAATTTATTATTTTTAATAGTACATGGATATTACTGTAGTACACAGGAGAATGACATATGGGACAGGACCTTCCTGCTCTCTGTGCTGTGAACAGTACTGAAAAGGCAGCTCCAGACCCAATAAGGATTAGGGACATAAAGAGGTCAACCAAAGAAAACTTAATGCGATTTCAAAACGGTTGTGAATTGGCATTTAGTAACTGGACTGACTTTAGCAAAAGGATATTGGGAGTAYGAAACTTCCTAGTTGGAAATATTGCCTATGTTTCAAATGTAGAAGACAGGCAAGGTATTAATTCTGTCCACAGCAGTCTTGGCACAAGGGAGATTAATTTTTTTGCATTTGCCGAAGACCACATCTGGCTTTGTGTGAGCTGATGGTCAGCTGCTTTTGAGGTTAAAAAAGGCAAACATTTTATTCTGGATGAAATATTTTGAGTGAAGAGCTAAACCTGGGAGTTGAGCACACACAAAGATTTTACGGCTTCGTGCTTTTGGCTGAGGCTGCACAGAGCTTCAACGTAGAGGGAGGGGGAAAAAGAAAAAGTTTTCATCACACAGTTTTAACAGCCAGCTGTACTTATTTTCAACACCTCCATAATCCATCCTGACTAAATAAACTGGTGTTTTCATCTCACTTTTTTTCCCATATTGGTTTCCAAATTGCTTGGGAAAAAAGACACCACTGTGAAATGCACGTGCTTCATCTTTCTATTCTTTGTTTAGGCTTTACCGCTCTATCACACTCAGAATCATGCTAATATCTGACATTAATTTTYGATTAGGGCTAAGGTTAGGGTTAGTTGCCTACCCTGCTCCCTCCACACTTTCCCCATCATCTGCATCCACCTCTCCACACTGCAGAAATACTCTTTYTGGTTTGGGTTTCTTTTCCTCTTCTTCAGATCCCGTCCTTGCATGTCAGCCGGTCCGACTACACCTCACACCCTCCCTCGGCACAGCTCGACTCCACGTGGTAGGCGGGGGCGGATGCCGAGTGGTAATAACACACAAGACTTCGACTGTTCCCGTCCCCACGCAGCCGAGCTCGTCACTTTTCTCCCGTCGCCTCTTTCCCTACCTATTTCCGGCGGGGCGGCCCCTCGACGAGGGGCTGCGGGAAGCCGGGCCTCCTCCGCGGCCGGCCTCGCCCCACCCCACGGCGCCCGCTCTAGGCCCCTGTAGCCATTGTTGTGGATGGGACCGGGCAGGCTGGACTCACCTGCCAGCAGGCACTTGGCAGCGAGCTTCACCATCGCGCCGGCCCGGGGCAGGTGGCGGCGGCGGGCCGGGACGGCGGCAGCGGGGCCCGCCACCGCGCTGAGCCGCGGCCTTGGCAACCGCGCGGCCCTGGCAACGAAACAGCCACTCGCCCATTCCGATTGGCTGCGGTTTCTGCTCATCAAGGCCATCCGTAGTTATTATTGGCTCTCTCACTTTTCCCGCCTACTAGGCGTGCTGTCAATCAAATATGACGCCCCGCCCCTCCTGGTGGTTCCGCTGCGCCACGGGAGGAGCGCAGGGGAATTCTGCCCGGCAACTAAGGACGTCATCGGGAGCCGGCTTGTTATTGGGTAGAACACAGGGGGCTGYACCACGGGGCTGAAATGAACCGTCTGGAGGCACGGCAGAAAATGATAAAAGTAACGGGCAAAGAGCTGCGGCAGCACCAAGGCGGGAAGAYACAAGCCAGGGGAGAAGCCTCCACTTCCTGCCTGTGAGGCCACGGAACGCGATGTTCCGTGTGGAAGGGCCCTGGCCCCGTGTGCCTTGCTGCGCATGCGCCCGCCGGAGCTCGGCCTGCCCAGCCCTGCGCGTCAGCCCCTCCGTCCCCGGCATTTGGGTCACGTTTCCCTCAGGGCTCGGGGCGGGAGTGGAAAACGCGCCCGGCTCCGAGCTTTGTGCGGCGGCTTTTAAGTCGGCCACGAAGCCGGGTCAGCACGTCGGGAACAGGAGCTTCCTGAGGCCGCTGTGGCCCTGTGGAAGTGGAGCTGCGTCCCTTGCCTGCCCGAGTCAGCAGCTAATCCGTTCTCCTTTGCTCCAGCGCACACTTTGCCCTGTGCTTGACTGTGTTACTGTACTCATGGAGAACGTTCTCTTGCTCGCTGATTTCTGGACTGCTTTTTTCTTAGTATCTCAGAATTTTGTTCCTTTTTCCTCCCCTTTGTTTTTTTTTTTGTTGTTTTTTTTTTTTTTTTTTTTTTTTTTTTTTTTTTTTTTTTTTTTTTTTTTTTTTTTTTTATTGCAGTGGATTGATTTTTTTTTTTTTTTTCTTCCTATTTTAAAAATATTTCTACTAAGATCTCCCTTGGCTACTATTAAACTATTTCTATGCCCTATTTTTATTCTTTGAACTGATTTTCCATCTTCCTTTAGAGGTCCAAATCCAGTGGATTTGGGTGGGAGCTGCAAAAGGTAACCATGAAGCTTCCTGGATTTTTCCCTCTTTCCAAACTGTTTGAAAGATCCATGCCATCAGAAATTATGCCATTAATAGCAATCTTTTTTTTTTTTTTTTTTTTTGGGTATAAACTTGCTTGGCTGCACTTTGAATTGTTTGTTCTGGGGCACAGAATGTGCCTACAATGGAGAGTAGTGAATAAGCTTGGGAAGAACAGAATAACCAATAATGCATCTGTATTTGGGTTATAATGTTGGACATTCCAAGGGTCGTGGTGGTTGAAAATAAGGTTTTCCGAATTTAATTTCCGAGTAATGTCAAAGTAGTGCCTTCTTGGAAAGCAGCTTTTTAACCTTTCCTGGGATAAATTACCTGTTTTGCGTATTTGGGACTGTGTGACAAATCTGCCAGACACCTAGCCAGGCAAGAAAAAAATGATGAAAACCTATAGCAAAATCAATGGAGTCTTCTATATACACAGAAAATTACATTGTTTCTGTGATGAAAATATGAAAGGGACTTCACTAGCCTGAGTGGGCAGACTTTAATTGTAGATGATGACTATAGTAAAATATAGTGATGGAGTCACTATTAGGTGTTCCTTTAGAAAGGAAAAGAAAAATTTATCTCAAGTCTCATTACTTTCCCTGTTTCCCATCTGTGAGTCMTCCAACACATAAAATACATGTGGGTTATTCTGATGTTCTCCTTCAGTTGTGTCTAAATAGCTTAACTCCTCTTTCATGTTTTCTGCTTTCCACTCCGTCCTCCAAGAAATTCAGTTTCCTCTGCGTTGTTCCATTTTTGCAATCTTTGCATTATCCTTTGTTGTTTATTTGTAATATTGCCCCAGTTTACTGACAGGTCTGCACCCAAACGCTTTGAGGCTCCATTATGTTGTACTTGAGGTTTATTGATCGTGGCTGCAGTGTGTGGTGGTATCCATCAGCATTTACTGAAGTTGCAAACATCCTGAATGTTTTGCACTGGGATCACTATAATGGAAGGCATAGATTATACTGGAAGTGAGATTTTCATTGCTATCAAAAAATTCTGCTTGGAGTCTGGRTATCTCCTTTCTGCTTGCTGCTTTCCTATTAGTATCCTTATCCCATTAGTTATCCATCCCTTAGTTCCTTTATCCCATTCCCTCATTTCCTACCTCAGCATGCATGTGTGCATAGAACTCTTAACGGACTTGTATCCTTTCTATTTCTTCTGTCCTTTTGCCCTGCTCTATTTTTTTTTACCCATTCTCAATCTTTTCCTCTGCCTGACTTCTCACAGGTATAAGTCGTTCCCCTACCAACATTGATGGTGATAGATTAAGGATGGAATTACTTATCTGCACTTTGTAATCCAAACAGAATCGCAGTCTACTATTAGCAGTCCACAGGGGTTGCTGCTGAATAAATTGGAATGCTGGTAGCTGTGCTCACTGAAGCTTCTCTCATCTTGAACACACGAAAAAGAGGGAAAGAGGAACCCTGTGGATTTAAACAAAAAAAAAAAAACCACCCCAAGAGCAGAGGAAGACGCCTTTATCCTAGAGAAGTGTTTATTAGGTTAAATCCTGTATTTAGCAGCTAAGGAGAAATAGAGCACTCTTTTCATTCACACATTTMATTTTCCCCTCAAATGAAACAAGATTATTTTAAGTGGGAAGTGCCCCTTATCTCATGTGCACAGGATAAGTTTTTCTGACAGCCACAAGACCCTGAAATTTGAAGTCATGTTCCTTTAGGCAGTGGTCACAAAACAGCAGTCGAACTGCACGTGCCGTGTGTGGCTCTCATTTCATCGGGCTGCAGAATGCAGCGATGATGGAACTGCAGCTCCATCAGGAGTGGCAAGGAATTTCAGACACAAGGTAAGGCTTTACAATGAGGATTAAATGGAGGTCCTGCAGTCTTTTGGACTGAGGTATGGTTGGTGTTCCAGATTCTGTTGGGCACTGCATAGGTCACTTCATTATCTTCTTCACAAAGCATACCTGTTAAAAAGGATTTTTAGTGAGGCAAAATTCACTAATATTCCTAGAACTTTTTCGCAGTTGTTCATGTATTGATGCAAACATTCTGAGTATGTTCAGAACTAAGCAGGTTACAACCTGCAACTTGAACATGCTGCCTGGTGAAAGCTGAGGGAGAATTGTAGCTTTCTTTGGCATAAGCAGTGCTTCTCAGGAGGGCTTTAATGTGTAGGAAAGGGAATTAGTCGGTCTTTCTATAAGAAATCTCTTAAATACAAAGTATTTCATCAGTTCTTTTTAAAATCTTATGTTACTGAAAGGAAACAGTGTGACAAAATGGCATGAGAGGCATCTTGTGAATGAATATTCAGAGTTCATGCAGCTTTTTAAATCTGTATAGATGCTTATAGGATTGACTATGACTGTTTACTGGTATGTCTGGAGAGCTGTGAAAGCCTGCAAGAAAGGATGTGTAAATTTTATTGTAGATTTCCATTCTTTACACTTCCCCCAAGCAGTGGAATAAATAGATACTCCATCTATTTTAAGGGCTACTTCATTTGGCATCCACCAAAACTGGCTTTTATTTTTCTTCAGAGTGGGGCTATTAGCACAGAAGTGAGAATTTGGATGCTTTCTCTAGCTCTGTTGATAATGCCATTATACTTCAGGTCTTCAGAATTTGCTCTTTTGTGATGGGGGCTGAGACACAGATCTGAAGGCTTTTTGGCTGAGAGTCAGTGCACTGAAATGTAAGACAATTACAAAATGGTTGAATCAGCCAAAGGATTTGTTGGCAGTTACMGCATCTCTTCTGAGTGATCTGGCCTATCTGTCATTTGTTTCTGATCTACTCTGTTGGGAGAGTGGAAGTTAGAAGTGGATGGCAGTTGTGGCATCAAGGGAAAGTGGTAAATCACTAAATGAGGGCTAGGTACCTCTACAAGAATGAACTTGKTTCAATATGCTAATTGTAACTGTTATGTCCTCTCTTCTGATGAATATGAAAGGAGGGAAAGATTTCTCAAGGATGCATTCAAATCCACAAGGATGAAGATAAAGAGAATTTCCGGAGAGTAATTATTCTGCATATGTCTGGAAAAATTCCAGCTCTAATCTTTATTTTCTTGTTTGTGCATATGGAAGCTTGGAAAAGTGTCAGGAAGAAACCCTGAAATCTTTATTTAATTTTTAATAATGCTCCCCAGAGCAGTAGGTAGTGGATTGTTGGCCAGGGAACGTAAATGCCACACAGAAATTTGCCTGAATCTCTCCACAGGGGAGTGTTTGTGACAGACTGAGGGCTTGCTGTGGCCTTGTGTGTGGCCTGAGCCTTCCTGAGCTGCGAGTGCCATTATTGGAGTGACTGTCACGCTCTCCTGCACAGAGCTAAGCATGGGAGGATTGGATGCCGGGGATGGAGCACTGAATGTGCTCCTGCATCCTGAGGAAGGGGTTAATGTGTCAAACAGAGTATACAGGAATATGTGACAGCTTTAAATGAGCTACCCATAATTCCAGCATGCCAGTCGTTATGTGTTGATGATGACTATGATAGCAGTTGGGTATCTTTTTTTGGATCTCTAGCTTCTGTCTGCTTAGAAGGCAGATGCTAGGCTTTCACTAATGCTATATCTTATGTTAAAAACTGCAAGACAGATTGAATTCAAATAATTAGATTTTTTAAAAAATACAAGTTTATGTTTGGGTTTTTATATATAGGGTTTWTGTTTTAAGGGTTTGAATGTTCAAGGTTTTCTCTGCAGGGATGACAGCTAGAATTCTTTTCCCTTTTCTGAAAACTAAAGTCAACCATGTGACTCTAGGACCTGGAGGTTTAATGGAGGAAAGATGAGAGAAATATTTGTGACTCCTAATTAAATTTTCAAGTTTACAACACTCTGTTTTCTATTCTCTTCTCTTTTATAACAGGATAAATTTTTGGGTACCAACTTTTTCATGTTAATTATG